GAGGAAAATATCATTTATTTCTCTCCATATACCCAAATCAGTCAACATGTCAACATGGAGAATCACAACAAAACATGTCCCAGTTTTCATGCTACTACAGTAGTGCGCATAACACTGTTAGCTCAGCAAACAACAGACAAACGTAAAATACTGTATCCAGTACAGGTTACAATTACAGTAAATAACAACAACAACAAACATAAAAAATAATCTGAAAAAAACTGACAATATTGTACAGAAAATACTCCAGTAAACATGCTATACATTATCTCTTCGCCTAGCTGGATCTGGACAGAGAATTTTATCAACATCACAAGCAATATCCTTATTAGCAAGACAACGCGGGAAGAACCGTCTTGAATGTCGAATCCATCCTTGCACAGCTGCGGCGTCGACTTGGTCACAGGCGTCCTCCATTGCCTAAATGAGGGGTACCTGAGCCTGGGGCTGGAGATCGTAAACCTTCCACCGCCGTGCAGAGAAAAACTATTCGATAGGGTTTAGAAACGGAGAGTATGGTGGAAGGTATAGTACTGTCAACTGTGGATGGTGTTGAAACCAGTTCTGGACCAAAGCAGAGCGGTGGAATGACACATTGTCCCAGATGACAGTGTATTGCATCTGGTGCATTTCATTACCTGCTGTGACGATGTGGTGCAATCGGTCCAAAAATACGAGAATGTGAGGTGTGTTGTAAGGGCACATTTTGGCATGACGGAGGAGAACCCCATGCTGTGGAATAGCAGCGCAAAGGGTGATGTTACCCCCACATTGCCCTGGGACATTGATTATAGCCCTGTGGCCAATGATATTTCTGCCTCTCCTTCTTGCTTTTGTGAGGTTGAACCCTGCCTCATCAATATATATGAATTCATGCAGGATTTCCTCAGCATCCATCTGCAAAACTCTCTGAAATACAGTGAAAGACAAGATTGTGTAGTTCAGGATAGGTCTAGTATACAGTCAATGTAAAAAAGTAATGTGTGCAGTATGCAACATCACAGTGCTAAAGTGAACAATACAAACCTCCACATACTCATGCCGCAGCCGTTTGACCCTCTCTGAATTCCGCTCAAAAGGCACTCGATAAAGTTGTTTCATTTGAACCTGATGTCTTTTCAGGATGCGTGCCAGTGTTGACTGAGAGACCTGATGGATATTATTGAAAATGGCATGGTCACCGATAATGTTGGCTTGTAGTTCTCTGAGCCTGATAGCATTATTGGCCAAAACCATGTTTATTATCTCTCTCTCTTGTACTTGCGTGAATATGGGCCCCCTTCCTCCTTGTCGTTCCCGACCCTCAATCCTATGTAGAGAATAATACATGTAACTTACTCTACAGGAAGGGGTATCACAAGTGCTGATATGGTGCATACAATACAGTTTTTTTGGATTGCTTACACACTAAAATTAAAAGTAGTACACTATTAGCAAAACCTTACACTCAAGAAGCAAAACATCAGCCCATATTTGCACAACTATAAGCACATTGTCAACCTTACACTTGTTGCAAAACTCTACACACAGTGATTTGCAAAACACTAAACACACTTAACATACATTACACACAAAAATCTATCATGAAGTCACGTCCTTGCAATACCAAAGCACTGACTGTCAAATTACCACACCGTCCAACCAATTGGTTCAACACAGTCATCAGGTGTGCAAACACTCGTTTGCTTAATTGTAGACACACCAATCAGGTGTATAAGCACTATAAAAAGCAGCAGGTGTGTTAATCGGTCTTCAAGCACAATGGAAAGAGTCAGAGAAAGAGTAAGACGACGAGGAGGAGGAGGAGGAGGAGGAGGAGGAGGAGGAGGAGGAGGAGGAGGAGGAGGAGGAGGAGGACGACGACGAGGAGAACGACGAGGAGAACGACGAGGAGAACAACGAGGAGAACGAGGAGGACGAGGAGAACGAGGAGGACGAGGAGAACGAGGAGGAGGAGGAGGAGGAGGAGGAGGAGGAGGAGGAAGGGGAGGAAGAGGAAGAGGAAGACAAGAAGGTGCTCAAAGAGGACCGAATCTGACAAATGAGATCCGCGCAACACTGGTTGACCACATTGTCAACCACGGCCTGACGCTGAGGGAGGCTGGACTGCGAGTACAGCCAAATCTAAGCCGATATACAGTGGCAAGTGTGATGAGAACGTTTCGACTGGAAAATAGGTATTGTAAAAATATCATCATATCAAAAACATCTGCACGGTTTCAGTAACTGCTTACAGTACTATATTCTATGCACTATCAGCACTTCTGTTACCTTTTCCTGTGAAATTACTGTACTCTTGTATACTGTTTTTTTTTCTACATAGGATTGAGGGTCAGGGACGACAAGGGGGAAGGCCTCCTATGTTCACAGAACAGCAAGAGAGGGAGATAGTAAACATGGTTTTGGCCAACAATGCTATAACACTCAAGCAGCTCCAAGCTAACATTGTCAATAACCACGCCATTTTCAACGATATCCATCAGGTCTCAACATCAACACTGGCACGCATCCTAAAAAAAAAACATATTCAAATGAAGCAAATTTATCGAGTGCCTTTCGAGCGCAATTCCGAAAGGGTGAAACGACTGCGGCATGATTATGCAGAGGTATGTATTCACTTTAGCAGTGTGATCTTGCATACTGTCTCATAATCTTTTACTGTACTGTAATATGTATACTAGATCTACACTGAACTACACAATTTTGCCTGACACTGTTTTTCAGAGTTTTACGAATGGATGGAGAGGAGATCCAGCATGAGTTCATTTACGTAGATGAGGCTGGGTTCAACCTGACGAGAACACGAAGGAGGGGAAGAAACATCATTGGCCACAGGGCTATAGTCAATGTCCCAGGGCAACGTGGGGGTAATATAACACTCTGTGCAGCCATTACACAGAATGGGGTCCTCCACCGCCATGCCCATATGGGCCCTTACAACACAGCACTCATACTTACATTCTTGGACCAATTGCACAACATAACAGCAGCAAATCAAATCGATCAAATGCAATACATTGTTGTCTGGGACAATGTGTCTTTCCACCGCTCTGCTCTGGTTCAGAACTGGTTTCAGCAACATCCACATTTCACCGTCCTATATCTTCCACCATACTCTCCATTCCTCAACCCTATAGAAGAGTTTTTCTCGGCATGGCGGTGGAAGGTATATGATCTCCGTCTCCAGGCTGAGGTACCCCTCATCCAAGCCATGGAGGAGGCCTGTGACCAGATGGAGGTAGCAGCAATGCAAGGATGGATTCGTCATTCAAGACGTTTCTTTCCAAGGTGTCTTGCTAATGACAACATTGCCTGCGATGTTGATGAAATTCTCTGGCCAGATCCAGCTAGGCGAAGAGACAATGTCTAGTTATTTATTTTTATTTTTTTTGAACTTACAATATGTAAAGTGACGTTTGGTTACAGTATTATGAATCTCCATGTCAACATTTTGGGCGTGTTGAGAAATAAATGAGTTTCTTCAGTCTGCAACATTGGTCTTGTGTAGTGTTTGGTGAATTTACATTATGTTTGTACTTTGTTGAGAGTAGCCTACTCTAATCATAGGGAAGTAGAAGTGCTAAAAGTGTTTTAGGTTTATCACAGCAGAGTGTAACTCGTGCAAACAGAGTATAGTAATGTGAAACGTGTGTGTTTCATATGGTAACAAAGTGTGGTTTTTAAAAAGAAGTGTATAGTTTTTACAAGAGTGTTTAATTTTGCAAAGGATCTGTAGTGTTTTGCTAATTGGGTGTGTGGTTGTGCTAATTGTGTGTAGTGTTTTGAAAACACGGGCCCTGTTTTGAAAATCGTGCTTAAGCAATCAAAAAAAACTGTAAACGGCTGATTACTGTAACTGTAGACAGATCTTATTTTACCTGTTTTCCTGTCGAAAAGTCCTTATGACAGATGCCACTGTATATCTGCTAAGATTTGGCTGAACTCTCATTCCAGCCTCCCTCAGCGTCAATCCGTGGTTCACAACATGGTCCACTAGTGTTGCACGAATGTCATTTGATAAGTTTGGTCCTCTTCTTCTTTGTGCACGTTCTCCTCCTGCTTCAGGTCTTCCTCGACCTCTGGCTCGGCCTCTGCCTCTTCCTCTACCTTCTTCTCCTCCTCTGTGTACTCCTCCTCTCACCCTCACTCTTCTTCTGACTCCTTCCATTTTGGTTGAAGGCAGGTGAACCTACCTGCTGCATTTTTATAGAGCTTAAACCTGTTTGGTGTGTCTACAATTTAGCAATCATTTGTTTGTGCACCTGATGGCTGTGTTTAACAGATTGGCTCATAGGTGTGGTAATTTGACAGTCAGTGCTTTGGAATTGCAAGGAAGTGACATCATGATATACTTCTGTGTCTGATGTATACAAGTGTGTTTAGTGTTTTGCAAATCACTGTGTGTAATGTTTTGCAAATAGTGTGAAGCTGACAATGTGCTTACAGTTGTGCAAATCTAGCCTTGTGTTTTGCTCCTTGAGTGTAAGGTTTTGCTAATTGTGGGAAAAGTTTAATTTTAGTGTGTAAGCAATCGTAAAAAACTGTAATGAAACCCTGGTCATCTTGTGTACGAGATGAAGTAAAGGGTAGATGGAGAAGGTCTGGGAAAGCCATTGTGAGAAGAGAAAAATAAAGTAAGATGGAGAAAGTGAGTGTGTGAGAGAGGAAACTAGATTGAGAGAGAGAGGGAGAGGGAGAGGGGAGGAAAGAGGAAGAGAGGGGAGATTTGCCCCAACAATGAGTGTCTGTGCTGGAAACAGTAGCAGGGAAGGAGCAGAATTGCCATTGGCTCACTCTAAGGGTGTGTGTGTGTGTGTGTGTGTGTGTGTGTGTGTGTGTGTGTGTGTGTGTGTGTGCATGCGTGCATGCATGCGGGCATATTTGTATGCGTGTATAACACATGAGTGCATGTGTACAAACTCAGTGTGTGTGGTTCGATTTATGTTTTGAGGCTTTGCGAGTGCGTGAGTGTAGATGTGCAGCAGGGTGGGCATTTCTCTTGTTGTGAGTGGACATAGAGTTGGGAGGACACTAACAGGTGGGGGATTGTTGGAGTGGGTGGGGTTGGCTGGCTGGGGGACTGATGGAGGGGGTGGGGTTGGCTGGCTGGCTGGGGGACTGTTGGAGGGGGTGGGGTTGGCTGGCTGGCTGGCTGGGGGACTGATGGAGGGGGTGGGGTTGGCTGGCTGGGGGACTGATGGAGGGGGTGGGGTTGGCTGGCTGGGGGACTGATGGAGGGGGTGGGGTTGGCTGGCTGGCTGGCTGGGACCAGTTGTGTTAATACCAACCTTATATCTCCACATCAGATTGCTGTCTGTTTCTGTGGAATTTATGAATGCTTTTCTTTTTGAAGATCTCTATAATTATAAGCACACTGTTTCAGTCAGGCAGATAGATGGTAATAACCACAGAACACATGGAAGTGACATGCTGTGGATATGGATAGTAAGGGTCTATACTAATTGGTTGGGGATGCTTTTCAGCCATTTCCATCATCAACCAGTAGTCCAGTATATCAGGTTAAGTGCCTATCAGAAAAGCAACACAGTTGACAGATTTTGTGTAATTCTACCATTCAATTGGTCCTTTTCTGTCCTATGCTTTAGCGGCAGGTGGTCAGTCAGTCAGTCAAAGTTCAGTTTCACTCTGAACACAAACAGGTGTACCTGTTGTAGCCAGCCAAGGCAGGTTGGAGAGATACAGTAAGTCAATAGAACCACCAATACCTCTGTCCTCTGCTCTCCTCCTGCTACCCTACTATGGCAGGTAGAGTCAACAGAGTGCTATGGACTTTTATAACATATTATAGTGAGAAATGGCCACAAACATGTAGCAGATACACACAAGCATGCAAGCATACAGTACACCCACCCATGCATACACATCCACGCACAAACATACACACACACACACACACACACACCTCAGCTATCCCCCATGTGTGTGTACCGTGACACATGCCTCCTGAGTCTCCTGGGGAGTGCTGACAGTCTTGAACAACGCACCACAGGCATCTTGCTGGGGTCACCAAACGCAACACGCACGCTGACGTAGGACAGCCAGTGAAAGTTTGTGCCAGTTTGTGTGTGTCAGTCACAAAAAGCATTAAGCACAAGCTTGGAAAGAGTGCATGTGTGTGTCTGAGAGAGCGGAAGAGAGGTAGAGCGAGAGAGAGAGAGAATGGAGAGAGAATGGAGAGAGAATGGAGAGAGGTAGAGCGAGAGAGAGAGAGAATGGAGAGAGAATGGAGAGAGAATGGAGAGAGAATGGGGAGAGAATGGAGAGAGAATGGAGAGAGAATCACAGTTGCTTTAAAGTCATAGACATCACACAAATGACATCATTGTCTTTAGTCTCATCATCTGAACTTGACTGTCCCTGTCTGTCTGACTCACCATCGTTGGATTACAGTATATTGACATTGCATTGTTGTGCCTAACATGGTGATGTCTGAGACAACAAACTGTTCACATTTTGATTGATTTACTGTAGTAGGATAATAGATTTAGTGGATGTGATGTCTTTCAGCAGAGAAAACAGCGTCTATTATTTTGGAGTGCTAGAATGATGAATCAATCACTGGATCTCTGAAAGCAGTGCATTGATGAGGAGATAGGCCTACGTGCTTGTTCGACTGATCAAATGGAACGTCATGGCTACGCCCAAATAGCAGTGATTGAAAATAAAGATATCCTCTAAAGAAACAACAACACTAGTCTGCACAATCGTTTATCAACTTCTACAGTAGTTGCCCAGCCTACAATTGGATTATGGGGGTGTCAACTTCAGGCTCGGCCACTCTCCTGACCATAATTGAAAAGTTTTTTCCCCTGTTCGTCGCACTAAGTGGACATTTCCACTAAGCTCTCGCCCCTCCTACCCGGGGTCCAGTAAAAGCCAACATTTACAAATTGTCAGTGGCGAGTCGATACAGAATTCGCCACTCACTGGAGCGAGAGGCGCGCGGAAGACCTGTCAACGAATTATGAGTGTGGATCGTATATTTGATGAGCTTGGACACTTCAAAAGGTACCCAGAACAATAATGTAATTTCCACTTTAATTGAACTTCATTTTGGAGAGAAACATATGTAGTGCATTGCGTCATTAGCGCGTTAAAATGGGATAAACATTCTCCGTTAGAATAGCCTATATTTATTTGTTTCATTCTCACTATATTCAAAACACTTGATGTAGCCCTATTGTCAATGTTTGTATTTTTTGTACATGGATAATATTCTGTTTTTGTTAGGCTACTTTATAAAGAAAAAAACCATTAAAAAAAATATTACAGTAGGATATCATAAATGTTTGGGAGTCATTTTACTTCATTGTGCATTCATCAATCATAGTGAAGTCATTTCTATGTGTTGGATAGTGAAGGGTTTCATTCCTTTGATGCAACTTCCTCATGTTGTCCTTTTATTGAACCCCTAGATTCCAGAACATAACAGGACTCTCCCCTCATCTCTTCTCCTCCTCCTAGGTTCCAGGCATGTCTGTACTTTGCTGCTGTCTTCCAGGCCATAGCCTGTGGAATCCACTACCTGGCCTCTGTGTTCCTTGTGGAGAGGCCAAGCTTCGTCTGCGCACCGCCGGGTAACATAACTGACGTCCTGTACGGGAACTACACAGGCGCTTCCCTGGAGGAGGTGCTACCGTTCTTTAAACCGGCGAACGGGCCCGTGGTGGTGCGGACCGCGGAGGGCGAACAGTGGGAGCTCAGCACCTGCCAACGAACCCAACGAATTAACCCCACAGACTTTACCTACGAGCAGCTCATCAACAGGACGACAGAGAAGTGTGACGGGAACTACCATTACGTGTATGACCACAGCGAGGTGTATCAGAGCATCGTGACGGACTGGGACCTGGTGTGTGACAGGGAATGGCTGGCCAAGCTGTGTCAGCCCACTTTTATGATTGGTGTGCTGGTCGGAGCGCTGGTGTTCGGGGACATCGCTGATAGGTAAGAGGAGCTCTCCCCACCTACCTATTCCCAAATATGGGGAATGTGTCTGCCTCCTGCGGTGCCTCTGTGCCCCTCCCCAGCTGTGCCCCTGTGCCCTGTCCCTCCCTGGCTGGGCCCCTGTGCCCTGTACCTCTCTGGCTGTGCCCCTGTTCCCTGTCCCTCCCTGGCTGGGCCCCTGTGCCCTGTACCTCCCTGGCTGTGCCCTGTACTTCACCTAGCTGTGCCCCTGTGCCCTGTCCATCCCTGGCTGTGCCCCTGTGCTCCTCCCTGGCTGTGTCTCTATGCCACACAGCGCAGGGAAAGCTGTGACACACTTCGCTCAGAAATTGATTGGTTCTCTCGTTGTTTGGATTTGAAAATCCAACAATTGTAATGGAAGAGGGCGGTGCTTGGGGGCTGTCAATATGGTGGGGTATAGTACAGCATGGCATTAAGATATTACATCCTATTTAGTGAAGGGGAAGATGAGCAGTTAGATGGTTTCTTAGAGTTAGACAGACTACTAGGCTACTTCCATACTCATACACTGGGGCAGTATGCATGCGGCATTAGCCAACTTGTTCATTGATTTGTTCCATCTGGTCTGGCGGACTTGAGTCACATGCAGGCACGTTCACACACTCACACACACACACACACAAACAAACAACATACACACCTATGAACTCAGCCACTACTGTTGTGTAGCGATGTACAATTTCAACCCAAACTGCTGCCATGTGGCTGACCCTGTGGCTGACGCTGTGGCTGACCCTGTGCTGCTCCCAGCTTTTTGTCTGTCGAACAGTATTTTAACCATATTTGTTCTGCTCTGGATCAATGCCTTGAGTCACATGCAGTCACATACTCACACAACAAACAAACCAACTCAATCACAACTTCTGTGTGGCGATGTGCAATCCCCAGTCAGCAATACAATACTCATATGAGCTTGTGTGACATTGAATAGTTTTCTTTCAACTCTTCCCATGTCGTCAGCTACAGTAGATAGCAGAGGGCCTTTTTTGTAAATGAAGCATGTCTCTTCCTCTAGAACAGGGGTGTGAAACAGACGGCCAGTGGGCGGTTTGAGTAAAAGAGTGTACTCAAAATGACTAAAACCAAATGGAAACTGTGTAGAAATTAAAATTGACTTACATTCATAGTGTCTTGAGTGTGTCCAGCTCGCTAATAATAACTGAAATGACAGTCCGGGAGCATAGAAAATTCCAGAAACGATGGATAGAGGACCGAATGTAGCCCCCAGGGCAAAATTAGTTTGACACCCCTGCTCTAGAACCAATGGCTCAGTCAGTCAGTATGACAGTCAGCCACAACAGAGGCCTAACTATTCAACTGTACACCCTAACAAGTAATCCTAACTTTTCACATTCCCCCCCCCCCCCCCCCCCCCCCCCCCCTCCCTCCCTCTCTCTCCTCTGTCTCTCAGGGTTGGCAGACGGAGGATCCTGATGATCACCAGCCTGTGCCAGTTTGTGTTTGGTGTAAGCGTGGCATTCACGGGGAACTACTACCTATTTATGGTCATACGCTTCCTGCTCGCCATGGTATGTTTGTGTGTGTGTGTGTGTGTGTGTGTGTGTGTGTGTGGAGAGGAATGTAGTGTAGGGCATGCAGTAAGGAGACACAATAAAATATTATCTTATGGTAGAATCCTAACTTTACTTAACATTTCAAACTAATCTCCCTAGACATACTGTGAGTTCTTGATTTATGCAGAAGTCAAGTTCAAGAATGCAGTTATATTCATATATTAGTTAGTATTCATCCAGTATTTATTTTTGTCAGTATTAGATTATGTGCCTAAAAGGAATGACAGGTTGTACTAGAGGCAAAGGGAGAGAGTCGTTAATATTACCAGGACACAAGGCTATAAACGGTTGCTTACACAGTAGGCCCTATGTTGTGCCCAGACACCCTGTGCTGTTCATAACAGAACACATATACACACATTCTCAGTCTTACGGCCAGGTGTCTGTTCAACCGTACATTCTCTCTGACCATTGCCAAATTCTGGTCTTGTTCATATTGTAGTCTGTGAATACACACACACACACACACATGGTTGGACATCACTCACCAACCATTATTAGCATTGTTTTGCATCTACTTTATGGACAATTAGCCACTGAATTGATGGAGGGGTCATCTTTAATCAAGATCTCTTGATTATTAATGAATGGGAATCTTATGACAGAACAGATGTGTGGCTGTATGTGTGTTGTGTGTGTGTTGTCACATGCCTCTATGTTGGCCAGCCCTCTCAGTAGAGGGTGTGGCTTATGTTTGACAAACAGCCGAGGAACAGCTGACGACAGTGAAAGAAATCGTGGAAGAGTTACATATTTGAAATGTCCTTTTAGAAACCAAAAGCACAATCAACAAGACTATTGCCCTTGTATATACAGTGGGGGAAAAAAGTATTTAGTCAGCCACCAATTGTGCAAGTTCTCCCACTTAAAAAGATGAGAGAGGCCTGTAATTTTCATCATAGGTACACGTCAACTATGACAGACAAAATGAGAAAGAAAAATCCAGAAAATCACATTATAGGATTTTTAATGAATTTATTTGCAAATTATGGTGGAAAATAAGTATTTGGTCAATAACAAAAGTTTCTCAATACTTTGTTATATACCCTTTGTTGGCAATGACACAAGTCAAACGTTTTCTGTAAGTCTTCACAAGGTTTTCACACACTGCTGCTGGTATTTTGGCCCATTCCTCCATGCAGATCTCCTCTAGAGCAGTGATGTTTTGGGGCTGTCGCTGGGCAACACGGACTTTCAACTCCCTCCAAAGATTTTCTATGGGGTTGAGATCTGGAGACTGGCTAGGCCACTCCAGGACCTTGAAATGCTTCTTACGAAGCCACTCCTTCGTTGCCCGGGTGGTATGTTTGGGATCATTGTCATGCTGAAAGACCCAGCCACGTTTCATCTTCAATACCCTTGCTGATGGAAGGAGGTTTTCACTCAAAATCTCACGATACATGGCCCCATTCATTCTTTCCTTTACACGGATCAGTCGTCCTGGTCCCTTTGCAGAAAAACAGCCCCAAAGCATGATGTTTCCACCCCCATGCTTCATAGTAGGTATGGTGTTCTTTGGATGCAACTCAGCATTTTTGTCCTCCAAACACGACGAGTTGAGTTTTTACCAAAAAGTTATATTTTGGTTTCATCTGACCATATGACATTCTCCCAATCCTCTTCTGGATCATCCAAATGCACTCTAGCAAACTTCAGACGGGCCTGGACATGTACTGGCTTAAGCAGGGGGACACGTCTGGCACTGCAGGATTTGAGTCCCTGGCGGCGTAGTGTGTTACTGATGGTAGGCTTTGTTACTTTGGTCCCAGCTCTCTGCAGGTCATTCACTAGGTCCCCCCGTGTGGTTCTGGGATTTTTGCTCACCGTTCTTGTGATCATTTTGACCCCACGGGGTGAGATCTTGCGTGGAGCCCCAGATCGAGGGAGATTATCAGTGGTCTTGTATGTCTTCCATTTCCTAATAATTGCTCCCACAGTTGATTTCTTCAAACCAAGCTGCTTACCTATTGCAGATTCAGTCTTCCCAGCCTGGTGCAGGTCTACAATGTTGTTTCTGGTGTCCTTTGACAGCTCTTTGGTCTTGGCCATAGTGGAGTTTGGAGTGTGACTGTTTGAGGTTGTGGACAGGTGTCTTTTATACTGATAACAAGTTCAAACAGGTGCCATTAATACAGGTAACGAGTGGAGGACAGAGGAGCCTCTTAAAGAAGAAGTTACAGGTCTGTGAGAGCCAGAAATCTTGCTTGTTTGTAGGTGACCAAATACTTATTTTCCACCATAATTTGCAAATAAATTCATTAAAAATCCTACAATGTGATTTTCTGGATTTTTCTTTCTCAATTTGTCTGTCATAGTTGACGTGTACCTATGATGAAAATTACAGGCCTCTCTCATCTTTTTAAGTGGGAGAACTTGCACAATTGGTGGCTGACTAAATACTTTTTTTCCCCACTGTATGTTACCGTGTGCATGTGTATGCTAATGCTTGAATATCTGTGTGTTGTATGTGTTTGGGCTAATATCTGGGTCATTCCCAGAGGATAAGGTTTGACCTAACCACAGTCTGCTTTCAGGATCCATTTACTAATCACAGATCAGAGGATAAGACACATGACACTAGCTTTCAGGCATTAGATTAACTTTCTGCATCAACAGTAAAGTGTGTGTGTGTGTGTGTGTGTGTGTGTGTAGCCTATATGTGATTTGAAGCTCTGGCCCTGTGTTGTGTTCCCTCCCTCTCGGCAGGTGTCTAGTGGCTACCTTGTGGTCGTGTTTGTGTACGTGACCGAGTTCACCGGCAACAAGGTGCGCACGTGGACCTCCATGCACGTGCACGCCGCCTTCGCTGTGGGCGTCATGATGGTAGCGATCTCGGGCTACCTGGTGCGGACCTGGCGGAGCTACCAGATCATCCTCTCCACCTGCACCTCCCCCTTCCTCTTCTTCTGCTGGAAGTTCCCAGAGACGCCCTTCTACCTGATGGCTAAGGGGAGGCTCCAGGAGACCCAGGTCCTGCTGGACTCCATAGCCCGCTTCAACGGCCTGGAGCCTGGCCGCCTGAGGGCCGAGAACCTCCTGGAGCCCGAGGAGGCTCTGCTGGAAAAGGAGGTGACAGCGGGGGTAGCCCAGCCGGTGGAGCCCGAGAGGAAGCTGAGCATCCTGGACCTGTTTGGGACGTGGAGGATGGCATGGAGGACAGTGACGGTGTGGGCCGTGTGGTTCATCGGCAGCCTGGGTTACTACGTCTTCTCCCTGGGCTCCGTTAACCTGGGGGGCAACCAGTACATCAACCTCTTCCTGGCTGGTGAGACTGGGATGGGGGTGTGTGTAGGTGGGGCATATGATGTGGATGTACTGTATGTACTATGGGTGTGTGTTTATTGAATGGGTGATTATAGGAGTGACCATGGAGTGGCTACGAATCAAGCTATATATATTTAATACCCTATCAAGCAAAAATGTATTCATATAGTACATGTAGCTGGTCATGGACAGATGGGCATTCTATACACTGAACTACAGCTGCTGAACTCTACTACTGTATATGTGGCTGATGTTGATACTGAGACAATATGGGCTGGCTGAGGTAGCTATAGACAGACAGACAGGCAGTGTTGTGTGGTGCTGCTGTTAGGTGGTGCTGCTACTAGGTGGTGCTGCTACTAGGTGGTGCTGTTAGGTGCTGCTACTAGGTGGTGCTGTTAGGTGCTGCTACTAGGTGGTGCTGCTACCAGGGGGTGCTGCTACTAGGTGGTGCTGCTACTAGGTGGTGCTGCTACTAGGTGGTGTTGCTACTAGGTGGTGCTGCTATTAGGTGGTGCTGTTACTAGGTGGTGCTGTTACTAGGTGGTGCTGTTACTAGGTGGTGCTGTTACTAGGGGGTGCTGCTACTAGGTGGTGCTGCTACTAGGTGGTGCTGCTACTAGGTGGTGCTGCTATTAGGTGGTGCAGTTACTAGGTGGTGCTGCTACTAGGTGGTGCTGCTACTAGGTGGTGCTGCTATTAGGTGGTGATGTTACCAGGTGGTGCTGTTACTAGGTGGTGCTGTTACTAGGTGGTGCTGCTACTAGGTGGTGCTGCTACTAGGTGGTGCTGATACTAGGTGTTGCTGCTATTAGGTGTTGCTGCTATTAGGTGGTGCTGCTACTAGGTGGTGCTGTTACTAAGTTGTGTTGTTACTAGGTGGTGCTGCTACTAGGTGGTGCTGCTATTAGGTGGTGCTGTTACTAGGTGGTGCTGTTACTAGGTGGTGCTGCTATTAGGTGGTGCTGCTATTAGGTGGTGCTGTTACTAGGTGGTGCTGCTACTAGGTGGTGCTGCTACTAGGTGTTGCTGCTATTAGGTGGTGCTGCTACTAGGTGGTGGTGCTGCTACTAGGTGGTGGTGCTGTTACTAGGTGGTGCTGCTGCTAGGTGGTGCTGCTGCTAGGTGGTGCTGCTGCTAATTCAGGCTCCTACAGCGACAGACAGAGTTGTGTTTATACAGACAGAGCTGCAGAACTGTCTGTGTCTGGTCTGTCCCATGGCTCAGCATGTTGACTGTTCTGTGTTGACTATTCTGTTTATACTACAGGAAGGATACTGGACAGAATACTGCTTTGGGCTTTAAGTTAATGTATGGGCACCTCCACTGTAACAGACAACTGTTTAAAACTGGATGTGCCGTTGGATGTATACATCGTTTTAAAGTCATTACCTAATATGTGTGTTGTGAAGCAACAGAACTAGTTGTGTTTCAGTTTTCTCCCGTTCTGGTTTCATTTAGGACAGATCAGGGCTGGATTTCCCAAAAGCATCGTAGCACTAAGATCATCTTTCGTACATTTAGTTTAAATGAAATTACAATTATCTTAGTACTACGATGCTTTTGGGAAACCCAGCCCAGGTCAGTAAAAGATACTATATATTTTTTAACCATGATTCACTTTGTTGGACACAAAAATATCTCACTAGGTATTTAGGCTAGGTACTTGTGGAATGCACATGTAATGAGGGCAATGAGAATAATGTAATAAGCCTATATTGTGTTTGGAAGATCTTTTTTTAAGAAAGAGCCACAACCCCCACTTCCTGCTCAGAGTAAGCCTAGCTATCTGTGGCTCTCTTTTTGCCTGCCATCTAAACTCAGCAAAAAAAGAAACGTCCCTTTTTCAGGACCCTGTCTTTCAAAGATAATTTGTAAAAATCAAAATAACTTCACAGATCTTCATTGTAAAGGGTTTAAACACTGTTTCCCATGCTTGTTCAATTAACCATAAACAATTAATGAACATGCACTTGTGGAAGGGTCGTTAAGACACTAACAGCTTACAGACGGTAGGCAATTAAGGTCACAGTTATGAAAACTGAGGACACTAAAGAGGCCTTTCTACTGACTCTGAAAAACACCAAAAGAAAGATGCACAGGGTCCCTGCTCATTTGCGTGAACGTGCCTTAGGCATGCTACAAGGAGGCATGAGGACTGCAGATGTGGCCAGGGCAATAAATTGCAATGTCCGTACTGTGAGACGCCTAAGATAGCGCTACAGGGAGACAGAACGGACAGCTGATCGTCCTCACAGTTGCAGACCACGTGTAACAACACCTGCACAGGATCGGTACATCCGAACATCACACCTGCGGGACAGGTACAGGATGGCAACAACAACTGCCCGAGTTACTACAGGAACGCACAATCCCTCCATCAGTGCTCAGACTGTCCTCAATAGGCTGAGAGAGGCTGGACTGAGGGCTTGTAGGCCTGTTGTAAGGCAGGTCCTCACCAGACATCACCGGCAACAACGTCGCCTATGGGCACAAACCCACCGTCGCTGGACCAGACAGGCATAAAGTGCTCTTCACTGACGAGTCGCGGTTTTGTCTCACCAGGGGTGATGGTCGGATTCGCGTTTATCGTCTAAGGAATGAGCGTTACACCGAGGCCTGTACTCTGGAGCGGGATCGATTTGGAGGTGGAGGGTCCGTCATGGTCTGGGGCGGTGTGTCACAGCATCATCGGACTGAGCTTGTTGTCATTGCAGGCAATCTCAACGCTGTGCTTTACAGGGAAGACATCCTCCTCCCTCATGTGGTACCCTTCCTGCAGGCTCATCCTGACATGACCCTCCAGCATGACAATGCCACCGGCCATACTGCTCATTCTGTGCGTGATTTCCTGCAAGACAGGAATGTCAGTGTTCTGCCATGGCCAGCGAAGAGCCCGAATCTCAATCCCATTGAGCACGTCTGGGACCTGTTGGATCGGAGGGTGAGGGCTAGGGCCATTCCCCCCAGAAATGTCCGGGAACTTGCAGGTGCCTTGGTGGAAGAGTGGGGTAACATCTCACAGCAAGAACTGGCAAATCTGGTGCAGTCCATGAGGAGGAGATGCACTGCAGTACTTAACGCAGCTGGGGGACACACCAGATACTGACTGTTATTTTGATTTTGACCACCCCCCTTTGTTCAGGGACACATTATTCAATTTATGTTAGTCACATGTCTGTGGAACTTGTTCAGTTTATGTCTCAGTTGTTGAATCTTGTTATGTTCATACAAATATTTACACATGTTAAGTTTGCTGAAAATAAACGCAGTTGACATTGAGAGGACGTTTCTTTTTTGCTGAGTTTAGCAAATACCTCAGCTGTTTTCTCTATGCTCTCAAGTATCAAAGGCTAAACAGTCTCGTCACCAGGACCTTTCAGTCAAATTACGGCCACTGCTGGCCCAGTTCCAGATGTCACCACACAGAATGTCACCATGCCCGCTGCCTTGCTCTGACATCCTCTGTGATTGTCTGTTTCCAGGTGCGGTGGAGTTCCCCTCCTACCTGATTGGCTGTTATGCGATGGACCGGGTGGGCAGAAAGAGGACATGTGCCACGGCTCTGCTGCTGGCTGGAACGGCCTGCATGCTCATCATTGTGGTGCCAAACGTATGTACAAGCAATCGTGTGTGTGTGTGTGTCTGTGTGGGTGTGTGAGCTAGAGAGAGATCAAAGGATAGGAGCCAGTGTGACAAATCCCTAACCATTCAGAATTCATGTTAGTACAAATGGCCTGTGCACAGAAGGTTACATGCCCTGACCTACAGTGCCTTGCAAAAGTATTCATCCCCCTTGGCGTTTTTCCTCTTTTGTTGCATTACAACCTGTAATTTAAATTGATTTTTATTTGGATTTCATGTAATGGACATACACAAAATAGTCCAAATTGTGAAGTAAAAAAATAAAAAATAACGTGTTAAAAAACATTCGACTAAATAAATAATGGAAAAGTGGTGTGTGCATATGTATTCACCCCCTTTGCTATGAAGCCCCTAAATAAGATCTGGTGCAACCAATTACCTTCAGAAGTCACATAATTAGTTAAATAAAGTCCACCTGTGTGCAATCTAAGTGTCACATGATCTCAGTATATATACACCTGTTCTGAAAGGCCCCAGAGTCTGCAACACCACTAAGCAAGGGGCACCACCAAGCAAGCGGCACCATGAAGACCAAGGAGCGCTCCAATCAGGTCAGGGACAAAGTTGTGGAGAAGTACAGATCAGGGTTGGGTTATAAAAAATCCCACGGAGCACCATTAAATCCATTATAAAAAAATTGAAAGAATATGGCACCACAACAAACCTGCCAAGAGAGGGCCGCCCACCAAACTCACGGACCAGGCAAGGAGGGCATTAATCAGAGAGGCAACAAAGAGACCAAAGATAACCCTGAAGGAGCTGCAAAGCTCCACAGCGGAGATTGGAGTATCTGTCCATAGGACCACTTTAAGCCGTACACTCCACAGAGCTGTGCTTTATGGAAGAGTGGCCAGAAAAAAGTCATTGCTTAAAGAAAAACATAAGCAAACATGTTTGGTGGGAAACTCCCCAACCATATGGAAGAAGGTACTCTGGTCAGATGAGACAAATATTGAGCTTTTTGGCAATCAAGGAAAATGTCTGGCGCAAACCCAACACCTCTCATCACCCCGATACTAAATACAGGGAATTTCTTGAGGGAAACCTGTTTCAGTCTTCCAGAGATTTGAGACTGGGACGGAGGTTCACCTTCCAACAGGACAATGACCCTAAGCATACTGCTAAAGCAACACTCGAGTGGTTTAAAGGGAAACATTTAAATGTCTTGGAATGACCTAGTCAAAGCCCAGATCTCAATCCAATTGGAATCTGTGGTATGACTTAAAGATTGCTGTACACCAGCAGAACCCATCCAACTTGAAGGAGCTGGAGCAGTTTTGCCTTGAAGAATGGGCAAAAATCCCAGTGGCTAGATGTGCCAAGCTTATAGAGACATACCCCAAGAGACTTGCAGCTGTAATTGCTGCAAAGGGTGGCTCTACAAAGTATTGACTTTGGGGGGGTGAATAGTTATGCACGCTCAAGTATTCTGTTTTTTTTGTCTTATTTCTTGTTTGTTTCACAAGAAAAATTATTTTGCATCTTCAAAGTGGTAGGCATGTTGTGTAAATCAAATGATACAAACCCCCCAAAAACTCAATTTTAATTCCAGGTTGTAAGGCAACAAAATAGGAAAAATGCCAAGGGGGGTGAATACTTTCGCAAGCCACTGTAAAACCTTCAACTTAAACCTAACTCTAACTGTAACCTGACCAATACTGGCCAATGTGTGTACATGTGCATATGTGTGCGTGTGTGTTTAAGTGGTGGGATTCAACAGGTTTGCTCCAGCAGCAGCCAATAGTTTTCTGCCCTCAGCAGGGAGGGATCTCCATATCTGTTACTAATGGTCCATAGCCAGGCGCATGCACAGATGGGGCTCTATCTTTAGCCAAAGTGCCAAGAAATCAACCTGGCCTTCTAAACGTCTGTACACGGCCCTGCCCATAGCAGCCAACAGATAGAGAGAGGCCTGTTATAGTATAGTTTACTGTTGATTTGCTGCGTCATGGAAACAGCCTGAGTTATAGTACTGCAGGTGCACTGGGTCAGATTGGTTGAGCTGGAGGAGAGTTATACTGCCATACTCCAGCCTAGTGTTAATTTTGGCATAATTGTTTTATTTTGACTATAATAACATTAAGTCTTAGTCACATTTTTGTCATTTGAATAATTATTTAGTCTAGTTATTGTCAAAATGATGAAAACGTAAATGCCCTTTTCTTTTTACTCATAATTTTAGTCACATCACATTTGTATTGCCTCATTAACCTATAGTAAACATAAATCACTGACTTCCATGTGCATAAACATTTTCTTACCAACATGTTGTTCTGCATAACATCCTATTGCATGGTTCTCTTCCCAGAAGAACACATTACTCTGCAGCAGATTCAAAATCACATCCCTTGACAGGGCTTTAACATTTCCCCCAGTGCCACCAACTTTTTCAGTTGGTGAGACCAGCCCATGATTTGGTTTCCCCATTATAATTTTTTTGCGGCTTCACGCAATTAAAAAAAATGTTATCATTCACTTAAAGTAATTTGCAGTGCTTTAGACTATGTAATAGACTACTGAGATGGTAGTCTATTCAATAAATAAGTTGTTTCATCTAACATGTCCAAGCAGCAATGCATGATTCAAGATATTGTGATGTGCAACCTAATCCAGTGGTTGTCATTAATTGTGAGTTGACAATTATAGGCTGTTGTTATATTCTACTGTTAAAATAAGGCTCCAGAATTTTATGAATTTTGTGGTTCAATAGAGATTAATTTGCCTACATCTTTATGTGCACTAATATCTTAGGCAAATTTATTTTGGGGCTTATTCACCACATGAGGAAGTGAAAACTCCAAACACATTAGCTAGATCGCTAACAGTAAATATAATACCCACTGCTAGTAGTCATGTATTAATCTAACAGTAAATGTAATGTCCTAAAAAAAACGTTGTAGTTGCAGCCTGCTACCCTATGCACTCACAAAGGCCGATGCGCATTTCGCACTCTTCGTATCTTAAAGCCATATCAAATATTTCGGCTGTAAACTAGTTGCTATTGAGCTCAATATTAAGAGATGAGAAATAAAAAATATACCAACAGAAAGCTGAGAACGACAGTAGTTGTTTCCAAAGCTATGTATTTCCCGCAAATAGATTTTTAAAAAATGTTATACAATCAGAAGCCTTTTTTCTCTCTCCCCAGCAGAACAGGCCCCAGTGAAACAGGCCCAGAGGCTGGGCAGACACTTTCATTACAGCAATCATGAGGATAATGCACTTTACTGATTTTAGCCACACAAAACATAGGATGTTTTGAAACATTTGAGTGAGGTGACCATGTAACGAATGTTCAGCTCGCACGTGAACAATTACACATTTAACTCTCACAGCCACCTGCTAGCATTATCAATCTGTTATTAGCCTACCTGAGTGTATATATTGCGATGATGCTCTTTCAGATGTCTCTTGAGGTCAGTAGTATTATTCCCTGTCAACTCGTCAAACGCTGTCTTCTCCCGTGGAAATGTTGCATTCGGTCTTGTTTGAATCTACACGATAAGCAAAGTGTCTCCAAACGTTGCCCCTTTTTCTACCGGGAGCTTTTACCACTGGAAGAGTAGCCATGCCGTGTGCCTTATTTGCATCAATGATTTGTTGCTGCCAGATTGCAAATAAAAAAATAGCCCCAGACCTTTATTCCCCCTCCACCAAACTGTACAGTTGGCACTATGCATTGGGGCAGGTAGTGTTCTCCTGGCATCTGCAAAACCCAGATTCATCCGCCGGACTGCCAGATGGTGAAGCGTGATTCATCACTCCAGAGAATGCATTTCCACTGTTCCAGAGTGTCCAATGGCGGCGAGCTTTACACCACTCCAGCCAACGCTTGGCATTGCGCATGGTGATCTTAGGCTTGTGTGCGGCTGCTCGGCTGCTCGGCCATGGAAACCCATTTCATGAAGCTCCTGACGAACAGTTCTTGTGCTGACGTTGCTTCCAGAGGCAGTTTGGAACTCGGTAGTGAGTGTTGCAACCGAGGACAAACGATTGTTACGTGCAATGCACTTCAGCACTTGGCGGTCCCGTTCTGTGAGCTTGTGTTGCCTACCACTTCACGGTTGAGCCGTTGTTGCTCCTAAACATTTCCACTTCACAATAACAGCACTTATAGTTGACCGGGGCATCTCTAGCAGGGCAGACATTTTATAAACTTGTCACGCCCTGGCTCTGGGGACTCTCGTATGTTGAGCCAGGGTGTTAGTTTCTATGTTTTGTGTTGTAGGTTGTGGGTCTAGTTTTGCATTTCTATGTTGGCCAGGGTGGCTCCCAATCAGAGACGGCTGTAGCTCGTTGTCTCTGATTGGGAGCCATACTTAGGTAGCCGTTAGGCATTTGTTTGGTGTGGTTTCTTGTTCCGTATTGGTTTTGTGTAGTGTAACCAAGGACGTCACGTTATCGTTTGTTGTTTTGTTCGGGTGATTATTCTAATAAATAAATAAGTATGTTCACATTCCACGCTGCGCATTGGTCCTCTCTTCCCGACGATCGTGACAGAAGAAACACCATATCTGGACCAAGCAGCGTGTCCAGGAGCCAACGCCAGAGGTGAATCTAAAGGATATCAACCTCGACTGGGTCAAGCCGCGGGAGGAGGAGAGAGGCTGGACTTTGGAGCAGTGGAGTGAGAGTTGGGCGAGAACCATGGAGGCCTGGTCCACGGGGGAGAGACAAGCCCAGAAAATGTTTAGGGGGGGGCTCACGCCGTGGACGACGGGGCAGCAGGAGTACGGGATAGAGTGGTTCAGCGGGTTAGCAGAGGAGGCCGCCAGGTTACGGGGGCCACTGGTCACCAAGGGGAAGGAGAGTGTAGAGGCACGGCGAGAGGTACTGGGGTGTGTTACCAGTCCGGTCCGGCCCGTTCCTGATCACCGCGTAGGGCCAGTGGTGTGTGTGTCCCCAGTACGGTCCGGCCTGTTCCTGCTCCCCGCACCAAGCCTATGGTGCGCGTCGCCAGCCCGGCCCGGCCTGCTCCTGCTCCCCGCACCAAGCCAATGGTGCGCGTCGCCAGCCCGGCCCGGCCTGTTCCTGCTCCCCGCACCAAGCCTATGGTGCGCGTCGCCAGCCCGGCCCGGCCTGCTCCTGCTCCCCGCACCAAGCCAATGGTGCGCGTCGCCAGCCCGGCCCGGCCTGTTCCTGCTCCCCGCACCAAGCCTATGGTGCGCGTCGCCAGCCCGGCCTGTTCCTGCTCCCCGCACCAAGCCAATGGTGCGCGTCGCCAGCCCGGCCCGGCCTGCTCCTGCTCCCCGCACCAAGCCAATGGTGCGCGTCGCCAGCCCGGCCCGGCCTGTTCCTGCTCCCCGCACCAAGCCTATGGTGCGCGTCGCCAGCCCGGCCCGGCCTGTTCCTGCTCCCCGCACCAAGCCAATGGTGCGCGTCGCCAGCCCGGTTCGGCCCGTCCCTGCTCCCCGCACCAAGCCAGTGGTGCGCGTCGTCAGCCCGGTCCGGGCCGTCCCTGCTCCCCCCACCAAGCCTGTGGTGCGCGTCGTCAGTCCGGCACAGCCCGTGCCTGTTCCACCGGTGCCTGGTCCGGCACCGGTCAGCTGCTCCACTCCAGAGCTAGAGCAATCCGCTCCACCAGTGTTCAGTCCAGCTCCGGCCAGCAGGGCCAGACCGGACCAGGGGCGCTTTGGGGGGTTAGAGAGGGAGTGGGGGTCATGCCCGGATCCGGATCCGCCGCCGAGGCGGAGTGCCCACCCGGTCCCTCCCCTGTTGTGTTTGGTTGGCGCGGTCGGAGTCCGCGCCTTTGGGGGGGGATACTGTCACGCCCTGGCTCTGGGGACTCTCGTATGTAGTGCAATTTATTCTTGTTTCGTTTTCGTCAACCCAAATAAAAAATATATTTTGTTTAGTTATAGTTTTTTCTGGGTCTATTTAGTCAGTTATCGTTTCGTCAATTACCTCTGAAAAATAGGGCTTCACTATGTATACACACACTATTTATACACACGCACGAACGCATGCACACACACACACACACACACACACACACACACACACACACACACACACACACACACACACACACACACACACACACACACACACACACACACACACACACACACACACACACACACACACACACACACGGAATTGCTCAGAAGGCCACATACCACACAGCTCCATGTACATGAGCAGATAGCTCAGCCAGGGAGGGATGCCAAAGACCGTGAGGAGGAGACGGGGAGAGGGAAAGAAAGAGGGGAGGGGTGGTGAGAACAAACAACTTTTTTTTCAACGATCACACTACTATTTCTCAGTTTAATGATCAGAGCTTATTTCCTCAGGTTGAAATTATGTGTTCCAGCGCTAACTGGTTGTTGACTGATTCAGGGAAAACGTCATCCGTTAGTGTCTGTGACGTGATTGGCTGAGTAATCAGGAAACAGATGTTTGAAAGTGTTTACAGTCTTATTGATTGCTCGCTCGCTCTCTCTCTCTGTCTACCTTCCTCCCCTCTCTTTCTCTGTTACTTCCTGTCTCCCCCTCCTCCTCCTTTGTTCTCCTTGTTTTTGTGCTTCAGGACATCGAGGTGTTAGCCATCATCCTCAGTATGACAGGGAAGTTTGCTATTGCCATAGCCTTTGGCCTCATCTACTTATACACCTGTGAGCTCTACCCAACCATAATCAGGTACAGTACACACTGTGAGCTCTACCCAACCATAATCAGGTACAGTACACACTGTGAGCTCTACCCAACCATCATCAGGTACAGTACACACTGTGAGCTCTACCCAACCATAATCAGGTACAGTACACACTGTGAGCTCTACCCAACCATCATCAGGTACAGTACACACTGTGAGCTCTACCCAACCATCATCAGGTACAGTACACACTGGGAGCTCTACCCAACCATCATCAGGTACAGTACACACTGTGAGCTCTACCCAACCATAATCAGGTACAGTACACACTGTGAGCTCTACCCAACCATCATCAGGTACAGTACACACTGGGAGCTCTACCCAACCATCATCAGGTACAGTACACACTGTGAGCTCTACCCAACCATCATCAGGTACAGTACATACTGGGAGCTCTACCCAACCATCATCAGGTACAGTACATACTGGGAGCTCTCCCAACCATCATCAGGTACAGTACACACTGGGAGCTCTACCCAACCATCATCAGGTACAGGACACACTGAGCTCTACCCAACCATCATCAGGTACAGGCCACACTGAGCTCTACCCAACCATCATCAGGTAAAGTACACACTGTGAGCTTCATGTATCCAACATCCTTAATGTATCCTGACAGATGCTATCTATTATATTTGTGTGTGTGTGTGTGCTCCCCTCAGGTCCCTGGCGGTGGGTAGTGGTAGTATGATGTGTCGTGTGGGCAGTGTGGTGGCTCCTTTCTGTGTCTACCTGGCTGACATTTGGCAATACCTACCACAGGTAAACAACAGACTCAGACAGACACAGACAGACAGACAGACAGACAGACAGAGCATGTACAGTTGAAGTCGGAATACATACACTTAGGTTGGAGTCATTTTAAAACTCGTTTTTCAACCACTCCACAAATTTCTTGTTAACAAACTAGATTTTTGGCAAGTCGGTTAGGACATCTACTTTGTGCATGACACAAGTAATTGTTCCAACAATTGTTTACAGACAGATTATTTCACTTATAATTCACTGTATCACAATTCCAGTGGGTCAGAAGTTTACATACACTAAGTTGACTGTGCCTTTAAACAGCTTGGAAAATTCCAGAAAATGATGTCATGGCTTTAGAAGCTTCTGATAGGCTAATTGACATAATTTGAGTCAATTAGAGGTGTACCTGTGGATGTATTTCAAGGCCAACCTTCAAACTCAGTGCCTCTTTGCTTGACATCATGGGAAATTCAAAATAAATCAGCCAAGACCTCAGAAAAACTATTGTAGACATCCACAAGTCTGGTTTGTCCTTGGGAGCAATTTCCAAATGCCTGAAGGTACCACATTCATCTGTACAAACAATAGTACGCAAGTATAAACACCATGGGACCACGCAGCCGTCATACCACTCAGGAAGGAGACGCGTTCTGTCTCCTAGAGATGAACGTACTTTGGTGCGAAAAGTGCAAATCAATCCCAGAACAACAGCAAAGGACCTTGTGAAGATGCTGGAGGAAACAGGTACAAAAGTATCTATATCCACAGTAAAACGAGTCCTATATCGACATAACCTTAAAGGCTGCTGAGCAAGGAAGAAGCCACTGCTCCAAAACCGCCATAAAAAAGCCAGACTACGGTTTGCAACTCCACATGGGGACAAAGATCTTACTTTTTGGAGAAATGTCCTCTGGTCTGATGAAACAAAAATAGAACTGTTTGGCCATAATGACCATCATTATGTTTGGAGGAAAAAGGGGGATGCTTGCAAGCCGAAGAACACCATCCCAACCGTGAAGCACGGGGGTGGCAGCATCATGCTGTGGGGGTGCTTTGCTGCAGGAGGGACTGGTGCACTTCACAAAATAGATGGCATCATGAGGAAAGAAAATGATGTGCATATATTGAAGCAACATCTCAAGACATCAGTCAGGAAGTTAAAGCTTGGTCGCAAGTGGGTCTTCCAAATGGACAATGACCCCAAGCATACTTCCAAAGTTGTGGCAAAATGGCTTAAGGACAACAAAGTCAAGGTATTGGAGTGGCCATCACAAAGCCCTGACCTCAATCCTATAGAAGGTTTGTGGGCAGAACTGAAAAAGTGTGTGCGAGCAAGGAGGCCTACAAACCTAACTCAGTTACACCAGCTCTGTCAGGAGGAATGGGCCAAAATTCACCCAATTTATTGTGGGAAGCTTGTGGAAGGCAATTTAAATGCAATGCTACCAAATACTAATTGAGTGTATGTAAACTTCTGACCCACTGGGAATGTGATGAAAGAAATAAAAGCTGAAATAAATCATTCTCTCTACTATTATTCTGACATTTCACATTCTTAAAATTAAGTGGTGATCCTAACTGAACTAAGACTAGGATTAAATGTCAGGAATTGTGAAAAACTGAGTTTAAATGTATTTGTCTAAGGTGGATGTAAACTTCTGACTTCAACTGTATTATAACATACCCTTACTTTTTTCTTCTTCCACTAACTCAATTTCCTTTTCTCCTCTCTTTGCTTTTTCCTCTCCCATAGCTGATCGTGGGGATCCTGGCATTTATAATAGGTGTTCTGACCCTGTGGTTACCAGAGACCCTGGGTGAGCCCCTGTCCAGCACCATGGAGGAAGCTGAAGCTCTAGGCAGGAAGAAGAGCCCCGAGGAGGGAAATAAAGACCCTGAGGAAGGCTTGGAGATTAACTTGAACCAGAGCAACTAGCTGGACGTCAAGCCTTGAGGGACACACCTCACCACCAACCAGAGAGAAGGAGGGGTCCACAGATCGAGAGACGGGGAGAAAGTGGAGAGAGACTACTGGAAACGGTGCCAAGAAACCAACAAAAACAAACAACTGCAAAAACCAAGAACATCTAAATTAGACGTTTTGTGATTAAAGTATTTTTTGACATTTTGTTCTGCTAAGTGACCAATTTCAGAGCTGGTATGCTCTGGTTGAGCCAGCCAACCTCTGAGTGCCTTGGCTGCAGCTGTTTACACATAGACAGAGGGAAGTGAAGTGAAGGGGGTGTATTCATCACATCTCAGTCTCCTGATGAGAGCCACATGAAACTGAGCCTCATGATCGGCATTCACGTCATGTGTGCCTTCCAATCACATCAACCAATGAATTTACACATAACGAGACAATCTTAAGTGGTGTGTGTGTGTGTGTGTGCAAGAGATCGAGAGAGAGAGAGAGTGCATGTGTGCGTGCGTCCCTGTGTGTTTGTGTGTGTGTGTGTGTCAGATTTGATATTTCACTCACTGAGACTGTGATTTAGTGCTCGATTCAATTAGATCTGCTTTAGCCAACGGCGGTGTCAGAGGTGGAGCTGTGTTAGTGCTGTCAAATCCATTATTATTATTATTATTATTATCATAAGTTGCTCCTATCAGAGATACTTTTGAGGAATAGGAAACTCCTTTGGAATTGTATTAACGGCCATTGTGTACTTTGCCCATGCGTTGTCAATGGGCCGCGTGGAGCATTCTGGGACAACAAATAGCTCTCCTTCAAAGAGTGAATGGGAGTCAATTGGGAACTTGTTCAAAAACCCAACATTAGCATGAATTTTTGTCAACAAGAAGTACAACATTACAAATCTTTTTTCCGAGATGTGGGATAATTAACTTCTGTAATATTGTATAGCTTTGGCATGGTGACATTACATACTTTCGAGGAAAATAGGCTGGTTTCTCGACTCATACCCTGACTTTGAGAAGGAATTGCGTGACAATTAGTTTAGCAACCGCGTGATGCAGCATGACAAAATGAACACAATTGGTCATCAGTATGCTGGGTGGGGCGTTATACATTCCTCCATTTATTGATCAATGGGATTGCTATCTCCTACTTTCTCTAATATCTCTGGCGTTATACCTAAAGCGGACATTGCCACTGGCTGCACGGAGTCGCATTAACAAAAATCCCATGCAGCCTTGTTTACAAGTTTGAACACTGGAATGTGAGATGTAATCTAGCCTACACCTATATTAGGTTGATAGACATCCTCATTATTTAGTTTAGTGATTTTTCAATTTGAGCATATTTAGCCTACACTTTCTTGTTCGGTACTTATAACGTGAGTGGGGTGGGTGTGGCTCTCTGACACCGCCAAAACATCCGCTATGTGGGTGTCTGCTGTCGCTGGTTAATGCTTGACCTGATTGAATCTAGGCCTTAGTTACCTCTATTCAGCCCGATAATCATCTAGTGCAGCTGTTTTTGCCTATGTGTTACAGATGATGCTATTGTTATGTAATTTTAAGTGTACTTTGTTTATCTGAAGTCCTTACAAACTCGCACACACACACACACATGTTTGTTTTACTATCCTTGTGTGGACCAAACAATTGATTCCTATTCAAAATCTTATTTTCCCTAACCCTTAACTTAACCCCTAACCCTAAACCTAATCCCTAACCCTAATTCTAATGCTAAACCTAAACCTAACCCCTAAACCTGAAATAGGTCCGAATTTTCCTTCCTTCATAGCAAACATTACTTTTTTTGGGTCCAAAGGAACACACATGAATGTGTTTGTTTTTTGTACAGAAGTGTTTCATGTTAGTATTCTTATTTTTCATTTAAAGGAAATGTAAAAGGAGATCCATTCTTGCCTTTCTCCTAGTTCATTTAGGTAGTTAGGTTTCTAGCCTTCTTAACGTATGCATTAAGCCTGTATAAAGTCTGTACTACTGTACATGAAAACAGAAAGCTCCTTTTCCCCAGCACTGTTGCTGCGGTCATCAAAACAACACATTTTTCTACATTTAACAACATCAGCATTTGGCCTGGGACAGCCAAGAGAGGAAATAATCATCCAAAAGTATCTCAAATTGATTGTGAAGCTCAACAAAGTCACTTATAGATGAGTTGAACATGATGTGTGAAAAATGCTACTATCTGTAATATCACTTGAATGGGATTTGTGCCACAAATGCTAAAACTTTTGCATTTGGAACCAGTGCCAGGGAAACTAAACCAAATCATGGATTGCTGTCTATAGACTGCTAACAGCGTAAGGAAACCAATGTGTAATTTAGTCATTTAGGTGAACTATCCCTTTAAGGATCATCAGGTACTGCTGGAATGTCTACCACTGGTCACTCAAAACATTTACAAAGTATTTATATAATAGCGCCCACTTTAGATTAGTGACTGTGAAAGACTACGTAATGTTAAGGAAATGGTTTATCAATGTGGGAGTAATTATTCATGAACACAATTTTTAAATGCCACCCAAATGGTATATTATAGACCGTTGAAATAAAGTGTTACTTTTCGGAGAAAGACAAGTGTGATGAGCTGATGCATGGGCCCCGGTGGGAGAAAGAGGGAGAGAGAGAAGTGTGTGAGTAGGTGTATGTAACAGAAATAGCAGCAACAGACATGCCTAAGTCAGGCTAGCAGTTTGATCTACAGCCTACTGATACACACATGCACACGACACACACACATGGACACAAACACACACATCCATGAACACACACACACACACGTACCTAAAATAGTTGTTCTGCTAACCCATTGACAGGAATAGTTTGGTCCCATGTCTGACAGTGTCTCGAAAAATAGAACAAACTAGGGTAGGGAAACCACCTGTCAATTACATTGGGACCTTATAGCAGGGCCGGCAGGGCCCCACAGCCTTGCGGGCAAGCCATTTTAGTGGCCCCCTCCTGACGGCAGAGAGAAAAATGTAATTTTTAAATTCCTGCAACTCTACACATTTTGCAAGGGTAGTAGGGAAAATGTTGCAGCTGTAAAGCAAGCTTTCTGTAATATTACACATTTTGTCATGGGACGAGAGAAGTTTAGCAATTTTCTAACAAATGTCATCCAACTCTACTCATTTTGGGGCAAAGATAATTTTTTTTGCAATTCTACAGCTAATTTCTTGCATTTCTACCCATTTTGCCATGGGGTGGAGAGAAACTTTTGCATGTTTAAAGTTAATTTCCTTCAATTCTACACATTTTGCCAAGACTTATGCCATGTTAAAGGTCCAATGCAGCCATTTTTATCTCAATATCAAACAATTTCTGGGTAATAATGAAGTACCTTAATGTGATTGTTTTCTATTAAAAAGCTCTGGCGAAGGCCTTGTGTCACGGTTCAGACAGACGACCAGAGGACCACAATTGCGTCACACCAGAAAGTTTATTAAAACTTAAGGGAAAAGGGAAGTAGGGAGTGAGTGAAGGCTCCAGGGGTAACAGGGATCCCGTCCAATGTGCTGGGTCTGTGCCCCCCCCAGTGGCAGCGATGCGTCCTATGACGCCGGTGGTGGGTGGTCCAGAAGTCCTGGGGGGGGAAACACAGACACAACGGGGCGGATGAAACAAGGCAGCAGTACAGTTCAAGGGAAATCCAAATACGTTGTAGCAAGGCAGAAGGCTGGTCAGAGTTACCGGGATTGAAGAGTAGTCAGGAGTCGTTATAGCAGAAAGCAGGTCTGGTTTTCCTGGGGCAGAAGAGTATCCAAGAATCAGGCAGGTCCGGGGTCACAAAACAAGGGTGAGCCAGAAGCGTGAGCAAACAGGTTCCGGGTGTGAGCTTTGCAGACGATCTGACAAAGGAGAGCTGAAAGACAGGGCTTTAAATACTGGGAGAGGTTAGTGGGTAATGCAGCGCAGCTGGCAGAGTAATTAGAGCAGAGCAGAGCAGGGACAGGTGGAGCTAGTTAGGCTGAGTAGAGAGAGTGGTGAGCAGAGTGGAAGATAGTGGAAACAAATTAAGGTGGTAACCCGGTGGAGTGAGAGGGCTCATGACAGAACCCCCCCCCCAAGGGACGGCCCCAGAAGTCCCAAGAGCAACACCACGCCGGGCGGGAGGAGGGGAGCCGGAGGAGGGCTAGAACTCCTCCGAACGGTCCGAGTGAACGTCCTCATCCTCGGAGGAAGCCGGAGGGCCGTGGTCGGGAGATGGGACAGGTCCCGAGACAGGATCAGGCACAGGACAGGAAGCCGAGCGGGCAGGACGGTTAGGGACCCCTCTGGGGCGGCCCCTACGGATTGCAGGTTGATCAGGATGCCGTTGGTGGAAGGCGGTGATGAGAGTCCTATCCACAATCCGACTAGCTGGCACCCAGGTCCTTTCCTCAGGTCCATAACCCTCCCAGTCAATGAGGTACTGGAGACCCCTACCCCTCCGTCTGGACCGAAGCAGGCGGCGGACGGTGTAAACCAGACCACCATCGACGAGCCGTGGAGGAGGAGGACAAGGCGCAGCAGGGACCAGCGGACTCTCATGAATGGGCTTAATCTTAGACACATGGAAAGTGGGGTGCACCCTCATGGAATTAGGCAGTTGGAGCCGGACAGCAGTTGGGCTAATCACTCTTATAATAGGGAATGGGCCAATGAACCGAGGTGCCAGCTTTTGCGACTCCACCCTGAGTGGCAGGTTCTTCGATGACAACCACACCCTTTGACCAACATGGTAGGTGGGAGCAGGAATTCTCCGACGGTTGGCCCCGGTAGTGTAGCTGGCAACGGATCTGAGGAGTGTGGCTCGGGCTTGTGACCAGGTGCGGCGACATCGACGGGCAAAAGCAAGTGCAGATGGGCAAGTAACCTCCCCTTCCTGGCTGGCAAATAGAGGAGGCTGGTATCCATAAACACATTGGAAAGGGGACATACCGATGGCAGAGCAGGTCAGAGAATTGTGTGCGTACTCCACCCATGTCAATTGCTGCGACCAGGAGTGGGGGTTGC